GACGTGCTATGGGGAGAAGTTAATTTGAAGTTACATTTATGTCCAGAAGCAAAACAAGGGGCCATCTCCGCATTTGCTCAAGGATCAGGGAAACTGGACGAAAACCTGATCGAGATGGGGGTCATTGACCCAGAAGCCGAAGTACAGAACTTGTTACAGGTTCTTTAGAATTATACAATCCAAATGGTATATAATACATTAAATGTCATTGTTAAAATTAATATTACTTTCCTTTTGGGTACATACAATACGTTGTATTAACTGATGGCAACATTGTCGCGTTTCACGGCGTAACTGAGGTAAATGTATATCAAGCCTTTTCTTTAGATTCGATTCTAGAATCGACTCCCATCGTAATACCATAGTAATACCCCGTTACCTATAAAAATAACATTTCGTCCTTTTTTGTAAAATCCACCCAGACAAATTTTCTAACTGCAAAAAGAGTATATGTCCGGGGAAAAGAGGACGTATTGTAAGCCTAAGTAAAGCCAGCTGTACCCATTGTAGATTCATTACGGGTCCATTACTCATCCTCACCCCTAAAAGAAGCCTCTGAGTTAAATTCTAATCGCCTGTTTCGTAGCCTGAGTGATACATTCTTCCGTTGCTACATGACGAAGAGAGCGGGTCGAAATATGCCATAAGGCGGAAGAACAAGCCCGATGGCCTGAGCGTCGCCATGTAAAATAAAGACCATGATTGAATTAAATGCCCTTCATTGGTAGAAATTAAAATAGTGAAATTCAAGCTAATTTAAATGTTTGCTGCAAACTGCAGAAATTTTATTAAAAAGTTATTAAAAACGCTCAACATTCTGTAACCATTGAACAACAATGTACATTTTAAATTCAACTAGTCAAAATCGGAAGTGTCTTTGATTATAGAAAATCGAGATTTTTACGAAAGTGTTGGTATGCTAAATTGGTATCTTTAATTTATTTATGAGAATTTCTTTGTGTTATGATTACATAACACATTCAAGAGGAAGTGTAAAGGGGGTTGATGAAGAAAACAATTCTTTTAAACGAAATCAATGCAGAAAAATGTTGGAAATCGCTCTTTAAATTGATTTTCGCTTGTGAACGTTTCAGAAAGAAGAATAAAACGATGAGAAATCATAATTACGTTGTTCTTAGGTGCCTTGAAACGTGAACTAAACAAACCTGATGCGCTTACCTGTTAACCTCACTGCCAAGTCACACAATAGTTTTGTAGAACATCGAAATAACTCAAAGGAGTTTTCGTCGAGATGACTTATAGAATGAAAATTAAACTATTTGGAAGCGTGGGCAATTTTTTAAAAACTCGAAAATGGGATGACCTGAACTTTGTGTTGCATAAAAATCCCTGGTAGCTTAAGAAGGTAAACATTCTAATATTACGAAACATTTTTTAAGAAACAAACGACTGAGATTCGTGCAATTATATTGCATAGAATATCAAATAGTCAACATATTTTTACACAGATTTCGAGATTCTCCTCATTTTTAGTCACCTGTGATACCCTCAAGTATTATACCATCAACAACCGAATAGAAAATGTCTACTCCAAAAGGGTTTAATACCACATAACAAACAACTCGTTTCCTCTTTGGGGCACAAAAAACTAGTTTTAAGGGTATAAAATATTTAATTTCCCAATTAAGAATGATGTGGACAAGTGTGGGAGACTAACGGCTGACACGGGTTGCACGTGCACCTGATCATTTCTTCGTATTATAATCTGCTAATGCGCAAAGGTCTACATTCTTCCTCTCGAATGTATTTGAAGTCACGCGTGACACTACTCTAGCCGAAAGTGGTAACCCTCATTTACTGGGTTTCCAGTCGTTGATGTCTTATACGTACTAAGAGATCGCACAAAGACGTCTTTTCTAAACGTTTTAAATATAGAGGAAAAATATTAAAACATCCAAGAAAAGAACCTAATGGAATGAAAATTCAGAAATAAATGTATTATTAGAAGGCCTATTATTAGCAATGTTCTATACAGGCATGTAATTATTTTCTATTTATAAATAAATGCCTATTTAAAACGATCATCTTTTCCAGTAGTACTGTTTAATTTTGAACGTTTTTGTCTGGATTCTTAAAGGAAGAATATTTGACGCGGTCCATGTGGTAAATTCATAAGTGAAGTATGAATTCATACCTTTATCAGAAAACAAAAGGAAATCTTCTACCTCAGCGGCAGTATAAAAGGAAAATCAGTTTTCAAAGATGGAGCCCCGAGGTGAATAACCGCTATGAGTAAGAGCCAGAGCTCAAAGTTGGCACACCGCTGCAAGCGGAAACAATGGCTGGGGGAGACAGCAGCCCTGGTTCTAATTATAACCTTGAAGAGGGCCCGCTAAGCAATTCCTGACGAATCCTCTCTGCACGCGGTGAAGTTGAGCGTACTGCGCTTACGGTTGGAATTATATTATTATAATTTATTTAAACTTAACTTCAAAGTCATACTTTTAAATCATAAATACTAAGAAAACACAGAAAAATAATATAAACTAAAAACGTTAAAAACAAGCATTTGTTAATTAGTTATACTTCGTTTTATATTATTTATTTAAAATGTATATTACAATTATTCTGATGATGAATGAAGTATATTACATACAGTTTTTTAATGTAATATAAATAAATGTCATCTGCACACTTTTGTAATTCAATTATGTTTTTATTAAATAATGTGGAAACGATTAGAAAATAGATATTTCGTAGTTAATATATAGGGGAATTATACCATTAGTTTTGCCCCGGATGACACTAACTGAAGCTATGCCACTGCCTGTACCGTTTTATTGAGCTAGATAAAAATGACACATACATTTTTTGAAAATTTTAGTAGTTGGTCGTGTAATTTTGGATAAAATATGGACAATAGTGAAAAAGTTGAAAACAATATTTTATCAAAAACGGCTCCAAATTGTTCCTTTGTACTTTTTTAGGGACAGTGCTAAATGCACTGTATAAGACATTAACATCATTTAGCTGTATTGCTTTTCTCAATTACACAAATGTAATTGTGTACTTTTTATCAATTACATAAAATTACACTAATGTATTTTTTAAATATCTCTCACATCGTTAATATTTACAGTATCTGCGATTTATATACATTATTGCATTTGTGAGGAATGTGCTTTCTTTGCCTAATGTTTCTCGCAAAACTCAAAACTTTTATTTGAAAATGAGTTCAAAATTCTGAATTTTTAGAAACGCTCGAACGACCTTTTAACAAAAACGGCTCCAAATTTCTCATGCAGTATTCTTACGCAGTATAGAGAATGTAGTGGAATGCTACGAGGAAACAGCCATTTTTCGATCGAAAAATTTATTACCGGGCTCTAAAAACACAAAAGCGGGTAAATCTTGTTTCTATATGCAATAAATTACTTCCTCTACCCCATTGTGTAGTCGGAATCAATATTTTGTGGATCTTCTATTGAGGACAAAACGTGTGTCAGTATGGTTGTCCGTTTGTGATTATCTTTATCGGCTAAACACTTCAGACGGTTTTCTCTTAAACTGATATTCCTGATTGATCTGAACGAACTCGAAACTCTACGTGGTTGAAATTGATATTTTGATTGCTGGGGAACTTTACGTAAAGCTTTAATAACATTTTTCGAAAATTTCTCCATGATTTTGGATTAAACTTTGCCTCTAGAGAGCGTAACGAATTAAAACAATATGGCCTGGGATTAATTTTCGTTAAAATATCTTATTTATCCAAAATTGCAAGAGTTCAAACTTGCAACTACCAAATTCAAGATTGGAATTAATTCTTAATGAAATCTGTTGTTCAAAGACAGATCTTGAATGAACGCCACGTACAATTTTTCGAAAATATGAGTAATGTTCACGTAATTTTAAGTGAATTATGGGCAATTTTTAAACAATTATTTCTCAAATGATGTTCCATTTTTTAAAATTTTATTATTACGCATAAAAGAACGATATAAAAATGTCTCTCGTTCCATTTTTCGGCGAATTCTATATTTACGAAAATTGCAATAATTTAACATTGCAAAAGAACAATATTGAAGATAGAGATTTTTGTCTTATAAGAAATATGTTCTATAAAATTGATTTCTAGAAAAGGTCATGTACAGATATAAGGCATAAAAAACAAAGCTAAATCGTTGGAAATTTCATAATAAAACATTGCAAAATAAGCTCAAAATGGCATAAAGAAAAATGGCCATAGTTGACAAATAACAAAAACGACGTGAAAGTTGCCCGACTATTCAGGAGGTGGAGGTACAAGCAGATAGGAATGTTTCCTTGAACGTCATACGAGACAGTAAACGACTACATATATTACGGATACATGCATGCATACATACATGTTCCCTTTTTTGTCACTAGTATGTAATAAATCAAACGAGTTTCATATATGCCTTCCAGCCTTGCAAGTGTGGAGTAATTATACACGAAGTTCCCTAGATGCGGAATGTAAAGTTCTTTCGCAATATTTCGTGAGACTGGTTTTGCAATGCTTTGCGGTGGCATTCAATGCACCGCTATCAGAACATCATGTATGGCACTCAAAATATAGAAAATTATTGTCATTGGTCAGACTGCTGAGCAGGTGGGAAAACTGTAACACAGGACAGCGGTCGACAACCTTTTCGACGTTGTGGACAACTAGATTCGCAATATACAAATACGAGGCTCACTAACTTAATTATTAGAAGTAAGTTCTACATATCTGCCGATTTTTAAGTAATTCCGACCATTCCTTCTGGGTGTTGCAATTTTCACAAATAGCAGTGTATTATATTCTACGTATTATTCCCTTTCCTTAGATGCACAGAATCTTGTCTCCCCTCACGTTGTGGCTTTAGATGCATCGTTTTTGAAGAATCGAAGAGGGGCACAAGGAACAAAATGTATAGTTACGGCGACAAGGCTCGGCCTTCAATTATGATGATGACGATGACGAATGATGTCTGGGCATACGAGAAGTACATTCCGTCTGTCTTGTGTGTGCAGGATGGAACCAGTTCCTGAAGCGCGGGTGGGCGCGGCTGGCGTTGTGGCGGCGGCGGCGCGGGCGGCGGGCGCGGGGCCTGGGCGTGGGGCTGTGGGCCGAGGGGGCGTCGCCCCCGCCCAACTGCGGCCCGGCGGGCAGCCTCCTGCCCACCCAGCTGGAAGAGCGCCTCGAGGGCCCGCAGGAGCTGCTCGGCGGTGAGGTACGCCCTGCTCCCTTTCTTTCCCCTCGCCCTTTCTACATTTCACCTTTCTTGTTTTCCTTCTTTCTTTTCCTTTCTTTTCGTTTTCTCTTTATTCCGTTTTCGCTATTTCTCGCGTAAAATTCTCCCTCTTTTTTATTATTCCGTTCTTACGGGCTACGTTGTTTTTTTGTTTTTTTTTTCTTCCGGAACGGTGCTGGGGTGTGAATGCAAGGCTTCTGGATGCGACTGAACATTGACTCCCCCCTCCCTGGGAAGCGTATTCTGGTAGAAACAACCGATCGAATGTAAGGAATTTGGGAAATTTCGTGTATCAAAAGGAATGGAGCCGTGTAGGTAGGTCCCTCGTGTGCTGTGATACAATTCAGGGACACTAGAAGCTTGGAATGAAATTGAGAATGGATGTTTAGATTTACAAATTTGGTGTGAACAGAAATGTGATTCAAGGTCATTTTGTTCCAATAACGTAGATACGATCACCTAGTGGTACAAAAGCAATATTTTGTTGGAATATTTTAATGTATAATTCAAATTTTATTTACATGACCGGTCCCATAGATACTTATACTTTTAAACTAATTTTATTAAACTTGATATTACAATCACTATTGATCCTACAACATAGTATGGAATTCCTCGTATTATTCTCGAACCGATGTCTCTAGGCAATTCCTTGTAAGGAATCTGGTATGAGCCAGGGAATGGAATAAAAATGTGCAAAGCACTCTGCCGCATACTGGTCATCTCCATCCTTAAATACTCACTCTGCTGTTCCCAAGACTCCACGAACAACCACAGAATGCATTAGAACTGTCACTATAATAGTTGTTAACGTCGTTAGGCCGATATAGAGGAAGTAGGAGTTTATAAATCGAGGAATTTATAAACCGGGCGTATAAATGTTTATAAACCGAAGTTGTTTTTTTCAACGGACATTTATCCAACCAGCGCACCCGGCAATGCTTGGATATTACAGTGTATTATAGTCTACACGCTACACTAAAAATTCTAATGGACGGAAGACTCTCGCGAGTATGGGTTTATGTTGTGTCCTGTTTGGACATGGTTGTCAAATATCTTACTGTTAAAAGGTTTTCCTCAACTTTGGATTCATCATGACTCATAACACTGCCTTAAAGAAATTTGACGGTTTCACCTAATAATTCAGTCCGATGTTCCAGGGGCAGAATGTTAGGGGCAGAATATGCAGCTAAGACGTGCTTAATACTTGATAATGCGGCGGGTTGCCTATCGCTTCTGCTCAGCTTCGCTTGAGTCGTCATAAACGCACAAATCAACGCTCAGTTAATAAATAACCCATCGCATAATTCAAACAAATCTTTAAACTCTCCCAAAAGTAATAAAAACAAGGTGTGAAAATGTAAGTGCAATCTTTCGAGTAATTTTTGCGTCTAAGTGCGACAGACACACACATTACCTTATATATAGATTTCGCGTTTTGTGATACTGGCCGTGCGCATTCAATACTTTTTGTAATGCTATTTTCTTAAGGCAAAAAAATCATAAAATTAAGAAATACATTTTATCTGAATACGAGAACTCATGTATTATAATTTTTAGCTAAAACTCATTTATTTCGACTATTCTTAACGAACGGCGAATTGTTAAATTTCATGCACCTTCAAGAACATGCACCGTTCATTAAGAAATGTTCCCCACTTGATTGCGTTATCACGATATAATAGCACAGTTTAACGAGAAAAAAAATATTGACATAGTCTGTGGAAAACGAAGAGTGTTGACATGCAGTTGGCGTGTTGGGCAGAGCGCGGAGGTCTTGTGGCTGTGGGGAGACGACCCGCACAGCGGCGCGCAGCTACTGCTGCGGATGGAGAGGCGACCGCAGCGCCCCTGCCCGGAGCCCTGGCTGCACCTGCGGCTGCCCGGAGGTGCCTGCTACACGCTCCCTGGTGAGGCATCACCCAGCCAACCTCTTCATCCAAAGAGCCCTTGCACGCCCTTCGATTTTTGTAATTTTACACAATGCATTCAAAATAATTACTGTTAACAGATCTCTTGACATCGAAGGCAGTATTCTTATTGTCAATATACTCGTTCATTGAAACAATTCATGCTGTAACTTAAAAAAAACTTTAAAAATTATTATTGGCCCGCTCCCTGAAGTACATTTTGGATCTGGAGACCTCCTGGTGTCGGAGCGTAATATTTATTTGCGAGACTTGTTGAAGAACAGATTAAACCAAAGAAAAAAACTAACTACACCCAATAAGGGAGCATCGGAAAGATGTAATTTCCATTACAGAGATCTGTCTGCCAAAGCGTGAAGAGAATGCACTAAACGACGTGTTGGTGTCGGCAGGGCCAGCCCCCGGGCGGGCGGCGGCGACGGCGGGAGCGCAGGGCAGCACCGCGTGGGCGGCCGCCGGACTGCACCTGGAAGTGCTGGAGCCCATGCGGCGCTGGAGGCTGCGTTTCAACGGGCTGCTCAGGTGCTTTTCATTTGCCACCGCCTCGCTCCTTCCTCTTTATTTATTTATTTATTTATTTATTTATTTATTTATTTATTTATTTATTTATTTATTTATTTAATTTATTTATTTACAAATACGATATTGTCAATCTAGTTAGGGGCATATGAATGTATTAGTTGACAAATAGTTCTGAAGGGAAAGTACGCCAATCATACAACACCTAGGCGCTATAAAGAGGACGGACATCTTATAATTTACCCCATTACCTAATTTTTTTAATTTTTTAATTTTGCTATTCCAAAATTAATGTTTTATTTTTCAGACGTATTGATGAAGAACACATTTCAAAAGAAAACAGCGACGAGGAGAAACAACCAGTTATTGAACCTGTCTCCTTCAGATTCTTGTAAGTATAAAATTAAATAATAATTTTCATGCGATAACATAAAAGGTGACGTCTGAGATAACAGGTCTAAGGAGAAAACAAAACACGAGATAACGTCCGTTTTGTGCAGGCCACCAATAACTTATTTAAAATAACATTTCCCTTTTCAACTATCAAAACACGGGTGACGGAATACGATAGGATAGCTATGGCTCAATGGAAAATACTCTTTAATACACTTGTCACATATTTTTCCAATTATTGAACCTTTTCTATGGAAAAATATGTTATTTGTGGTTAGCGAGAAAATATCCATTATAAATAGAATTTCTTTAATATTTTCCTATTTGTTTGCTACACTTTTAACTTTCTGGTATACGACATAGTAATTTTCAATTCAAATGATATTTTTTCACCATTTAAAAAGATAAGGAAACAAGAAAAAGTTAGATTACGTATTCTTATACATGGTATGAAATGATGCTGTTAGGGGAAAATTTAAGAGAATGAAACCTCGATATTGAATTGCCTTCATATGATAATACTTCCAAGTTTCCTTATAATTAAAAATAGCATTCCGAGCATTGTGATTTTGCATACGTGATTTGGCATATGCGTCAAATAAAGGACTGTTTTGCGGGCGTTATTTTATATTTCCTCAACATTTGGAATCCCTGGATGTTTAAGGATTTTGATTATTAACTTAAATCCCAAATTTATTTTTTAAGCCAGAAAATCTTTATAATAATTCATTTCACATTTATTTTACTGTTGTACACGATACATTTTTCTTTCTTTTTTCTTTTTTTTTTGCAAAATGTGGTTAAGATCTCATTTTCGGATGCGCAGTTTCATTTACTCAAACTCGGTGAATTTTAGTAAAACGTTAAAGTTAATACGAGAAAGTATGTGCAGCTATAGCACCAATAGTTTTAGAAGAGATAATTCAATGTTAGGTTTTGCAATTTTAGATAAAACAGAGTTCGTCGAAATTGGGGTCTGCACCTTTTTCATCCAAAAATTACGAAGAAATTTTGAGAAAAAATGGAAAATTTTAAGGGTTCATGTAACTCATTCCCATCATGTGTATCATTTCCGAATTTGCAGGTACCAGAGGGCGAAGAATATCAAATTTGAAAAAAATCATTTGAAATTATTAGGTGCTAATGTTGACTACAGACAGAAGTTTTGCCTTGCACCAATTTAATAGTATACGTGACCCACAAAACGAGGATTTTGAGTACACAACGTGAGGAAATAATTTACTAGATTTAGACACGATAATGATACACATTTTCTGTCGAAAAATAATTCCCATAATTTAAAAAAATTCCATACGTCACATACAGTTTTTGATTGAATGAATCAAATCGAATAATCGCTTTCGCCACAGAAGACAATACTTCTTCTATACTACTATATGTTTAGTAAGTATGCGATAAGTACGAGTTTGCGAGAAAGTAAATATTCACACAACCTAAAATTATCTGACCGCATCTGAATTGAAAGTTCGAGGGTAAACACTGCTCATGTCCTTATCACGAAGACAACGGCCATGTTAGCCCAGAAACTCCGTTAACTCTCAAGAAAATAATTTGTAACCTAAAACTCCGCTGTTTGCTAAGTACTTTACCCAGAGGCAAGGGCCCAGTTTACCCGTAAGCCCTGTTAAATTAAGAAAATAAACTGTAACCTAAAAATCCATTCTGTATTAATGTTCTTTTCCTTTGTACTATGGACCTATTAGACCATAAGTCCTGTTTAGGAAAAAAAGTAAATTTTAACCCCAAAAACATGCTTTATTAATGTCCTTTTCCCGTGGGCTGCGGCCCTGTTAGCCCAGAAGCTCTTTTAATGACGAAAGAAAATAAACTTTTACCTTAAACCGCAAAATAAACGTTTATTAACGTCCTTTCCCCGTGGAATTTCCAATAAACCCTGTTAACGTTGAAAGAAAATAAATGGTGACCTAATATCCGCAGAGTTTACTAACGTCCTTATTCCTTCGGACGCGGTTTTGTTAGCCCATAAGCCCTGTTAGCGTTGAAAGAAAATAAATTGTAACCTAAAACACGGTTTATCCCTTTTTCCCTTGAGCTCGCCCTTGTGAGCGCATAAGTGAGAGGGGCGCCGTTTGCTGCAGGTGGCGCGCCGCCAGCCAGCCGGTGGAGCTGCAGGGCGACTGGCACCCGGCGCTGCAGGCGAACGCGCTGGCGCTCGAACCCTGGCGCGACGGCCGCTGGCTCGCCATGACGTGAGTCTCATACCACCCCCCCCTTCCTGCGCCTTCGCTTGTTTTCTTCCTGCTGCACAACTTGTCCTACTGCGCTCCAGACAAGCGTGACGATCTGCGCCTTGAAGTGGCAGGTTTTCCAAGGACGAGCTAGATCGTCCGCTTGCATGTGCAGCGAGTTATTTCGGTCTAATGTGTGTGTGTGAATGTGTGTAAGTGCGTATGTGTGTTGGTATGTTGGAGAGTAAAGCAACCGATGGAAGACCGTATACAGTATACATGTTGCGAGTTTCCTGGTAAATCCACAAACACACGTACTTCAATCTTAAAATAAATTAATTTTGATATTGATGTGAAATGTGATGAGAAGAATTTGATGAAGGGAGATACATCAGTGGATAGAGATTTGGAGGTGCTGAAGTACACGGACAATAACATTAATAAAAAAACTTAAAACTAGATTTGAAAACTTCGAATTAATATGTTTTTGAGGTATCTGTAACGGAGATATGACTATTTTACATTCGTAAGCGGCTTCGAGGGATTGGAGAATTTTTTTTTATTTGATGGATAAATGTGGCAGAGCACCAGGTTATCATCTTCTGCTTTCCAGTCTTTCAGACACGGACTCAGTAATTAAAAATGTTTAAAAGTATTTCGTAGAATGAGAAATGATATAACAGAAAATTCAAATAGTTTCAACACTACATTTAGAATACTGACTCCAAATAATTTTTGAAACACCGAAGCAATATTTTATTATTACGATTATTAGCCACCTTCTATTTAGTCTTATGGATCCCATTGCATGTAAACGAAAGGAAACGAGTTTGAAGAGGAAAAATGAGCATCCCTTGTGTGCATGTGTGGTAGTTATTGATGTTTTTGTGTTTGTTGACTACTGAGGGAGCTTGGGCGATGTGTAGCCGCTGGAGGTGGTGTTGGCGTTTGTTGTTTTTATTGTTGTTGTTGAGTTTGTGTGTTATGCTGATGTTGCTGCCGCAGTGTCAGGGTTTGGGAAGGAGCTAAGCTCATGATTCGCAACGTGCACACGCCATTGTAACGAAATACAGTCACAGATTGGGCCCGTATGTTTTTTGTAGCTGCTATTGTTTAGGCGCGACTTCCGATCACGCACCGGCTGAATTCGTTGTGTGCTGGTGAAAGTGGGGTGATGGCTGGGAGAGAGTGGTGCGCTGGGCGACGAGGCGCAGGTTGGTGGCAGGTGAGGGGTCAGGGGCGCGGGCGGGAGTGTGCACGCACTGCCCCTCGAAGACACATCTTTCACATCGAGAAAGACAGATTCACCCCTTGTATGGTATATGTATATTGTCAGGTACTAGAGAGGGAAGAAAGCTGTTCACTGACTGAGCTCGTGACGTATCTTGTTATTGTTGTTAATATAATTGTAGCTATAGCTGCTGTTGTTGTCGGTGGTAGTTGGATTTTTTTTAAACATCTGCGTTATTTGCAATTTGTTCTACTCGAGCATTCACCAAATACATTTGTGACATGTAAAGAAACCATCCAATTTTGGTTCTTTCTAAAAATTATTTTTAAAACATTTGTCCAAAACAGAGAAAAAAGGTATCAACAAAAAACACCACATTGGAATAACAATAACACAAATACGATATTGTTATATATGATGCGTGTGAGTCTAAGTTGTTTTTGTTGTTACTGCTGATGTGTAAGGGCCTGTGTGACGATGTCTGACCACTGATTGATCTTAAGTTGCTACTTCTGACGTATATGCTCGTTTGTGGCGACGTGTGAGCAGTAAGTAGTCTCGTGTTAAGTACTTAAGTACTACACACGAGACTAGCGAGCAATGGTCAGTAACTGAGAACGTGCAGTGTGTTGTTCTACTGATGGTAATGGTGAACGTGAGGGTGAGGGTGTGGGCGATTGTGGTGGTGAGGGTGAGAATAGTGGTGATGGTGATGGTGCGGTTGAGGATCAAGGGGATGATGGTGGAGGCGAGAATGATGGCGTTGGTGAAGATGGTGGTGGTGATGTTGATGTTGGTTATCTTTTCGGAGCCAGTAGTGGTGGGAGGGTAATGGTAGTGGTGATAGTATTGATAATGGTGATGGCGAGAGTGATGGGGGTTGGCGCGCGTGGGGAGGTGCAAGGAGGGCCGGGCGCCTGAGCGCGTGCGATGTGATGATATTGATGACGGTGGTGAAGGTGACAGTGGTGGCGGTGGTGAGGGAGATGTTGGAGGTGATGGTTTGCGATCGTGACGAGGTCCGAGGAGGGCCAGCCGCCTGAGCACATGCGGTGTGAATATATTGATGGTGGTGGTGAGGGTGAGAGTTGTGGGCGGATGCACTGGTTGACGCGTGGCGTCGAGGAGCGAGGGTGATCCGGACAGCATTATATTGATGCGGTAGTGAGGACCTGAGGAGTGGTGGTGGTGGCGGTGGTGGATGATGGTGGGATGGTGGTGCGTGGTGGTGGTGGTGAGAGATGCTGGAAGTGAAAGGTTTGATATTGATGGTTGGTGGTGAAGGTGAAGGTTGTGGGGGAGGTGATGGTTGGTCACCGGAGGCGGAGTCCGAGGAGGGCGCAGCCGCCTGCAGGTGCCCTGTGCGGTGTGGTGGTATTGATGGGGTGGTGGTGGTTAGGGTGAGAAGGGAAAGGGCGGAAGCAGCTGGCTGGCGCGCGGAGCGAGATGGCCCGACCGTGAGCGCGTGCGGCTGCGCGTGTGCCGCAGACGCCGAATGGGGGCGAGGGCTACGACCCAGTGGGGCACGCTGCGCGGCGAGCGCGTCGGGCCGGCGGCGTGGCGAAGGCGGGGCGCGGCGGTCACCAGCTGCACCTGCGGGGCTGCGGCGGCGGCTGCTGGGGCGCGGCGCCCCGCGGCCGCGTGGCGCGCTTACCCGGGGGCTGGCGCTGAGCGCCGTGGGGCGCGTCGGGGCTGCGCGTGGCGCTGCGGGGCGGGACCAGCGCCCGCGGGGGCCTCTCGCGCGCCGCCTGGGGCCACGTGCAGCAGCCCGACACGGTGCAGCGCGCCGTCAGTTGGACCGACCTCGACCTGCCCTCGCTCGTCCAGCACCCCGACGCCCTGCCCAAGCACTTGGTCGTGCGCTTCGCCGGTGAGCAACCAACCCTCCCCGTCGCCCTTCTTTCCTCTTTCACTTTCCTCTTTGTGCCCATGTCTTCTCTCTCTCCTTCTCTCTCTCTCCTCCTTTTCTCTCTCTGTCTCTCGATGTTTCTCTCCATCTCTCCCCTCTTCTCTCTTCCTCTCCTTCCCACTTCTCTCTCTCTCTCTCTCACTCTCACTTCTCTCTCCCTCTATCTCTCCTTCTTCTCCCTTAATTTCTTTACTTTCATTTCTGGTTTTTGTTTATGGATTCGTCTACATTTCTTTTCTTTGCCTTTTTGTTCTATTATTTTGTTTTTCTTCCTCTTTTTAAACTTTCTTGTTTTGTCACCATCATGTCTTTGACAAAAAAGTTTTGTACGTTCAATTAGAGTGAAAGTTTTTGTCCAAAGAGTTTTTGCACATAAGTACATGTTGACAGAAAGTACATGTTGACACAAAATATTTTGAAAATTTCAGAGTGCATTTAAACTAGAAAAGATAAATCAGAACATACTTTCGCAAAGTTTACGCAAAATTACGCGAAAAATACTCAAATTTTCGAAAAATTGTACATTTGAATTTTGAATATTTGCAATTTTTGAAAAATTAGTTTTCAACGAACATAAGATCCACACTATTCTCTTAAACGTCCAACAAACTATCCAACAAAAACGTTTAATCAAAAACGATGGAGCTATATTTTTGAAAATTTTGAAAATATCTCAGGCGCTTTATGAAAGTATCGCTAAAAATTAAATATCGGTTTCAAATTCAAGGGGCCGTGACATCAGCCAGTTCAATTCGGGAGATATTGAGCTGAACAGTTTAGCAGCTAGCTTTGTTCACAGACCGACCGACAGACGGACGGACGCACGGACGGACGGACGGACGGACGGACGGACGCACGTTTTCTGTAATTCTGTTTTTCGTTATCAAGGACCCAACAAATCATGGATTCTGGCTCCGAGTTTTTTTTCAATTCAGCAACTGTATTTATCCACTTTTTCGTTCCCAGGGCTCTCTAATAAGTGTGTCTGCCAAATATTCAGTTTTTTTTCGCTCAGCATTACACAAATTTCTCTCTACTCAATAGCGAGAAAGTAAAAAGTGATAACTACCTTTTATACATATGTACAATAATGAAAACCGTCCTCTATCCCAAATCACTAAAAGAATTGTTCACGTTGTATCTTTGAATTCCAATTAAGAATATGCAATTAGTATAAGTAGTCACGTTATTTTCTACTTACTTTTCATATTTATTCATTTTTTTTCTTTTAATTTTGGACATACTGAGCAACCATTCAAAACAATAATTTAAAGACAACTAGTTTTCTCCAAAATTCGTTTCTCCACTTACAATTTGGACGGCTATTGTAGTAAAATAACTTCATAAAGAAACCAGTATTGACTCATCTCTCCCTACAGCGGGCGACCGCAACTACACCGCCGACGTGTACCCGATGCTGCACAAAGCGGCGGAGCGACGTTCAGAAGGCGTCCGCGTGTTCACGGTTCCCTTCGACAGCTACATCAACACCACGCAGGCTACGGGTGTCATTGAGTTTTGGTTCAGGTAAGAATATATACGTACTCCTCTCTGAACCCACAAGTATATTTGGTTTGGAGGATACAGGTTTTTAGTCATATCCAAAGCGAAACCATCAGGTTTTTAGCATAAGTGTAAGAATATGGTAGTAAGAAAAGTATTGAACAACACCGAACCAATTACGCAAATAACATACTTGGTCGCTTATAAACCTCGCCTCTCTCTACGGTTAACAAAAAGTCCAACCGTAATATATCTAACACCGGGAAACATGAGCTCAATTGTAAAATAAACCTCCTATCTTGGCGGCCGAAAGGTTGACAACTGTGCCTAGGACACGGTGACTCCCGATCAGCTAAGTAGACATTGACTCTTTCCGCGGAAGCCTATGCTCTCAAATTACAACCGCGTATGTTATAATTAGTTGTTTCCGGGTTTGTAGGCTGTGGTGCAACGGAGACTTCTCCAAACGTTTCGCCTGCAACTGTGGCAGGCATCATCAGTGGCTTTGTTGGTCAACGCGGTGCTGCCAAGAAGGACACTTCGTCCCCGCCAGCAACGCCACTGATGATGCCTGCCACAGTTGCAGGCGAAGCGTTTGGACCAGTCTCCGTTGGACCAGGGCCTACAAACCCGGAAACAGCTAACCATGATGTAGAAATCGGCCGTTAAAGCCTACATTGTATGTTAACCGCGTATGTTATTTGCTGTTCATCGGCCAAGTGACGTTAATAACTGTGAGCCTATCAACTCGACGGCGAATGTGAGTGATGTGCGTGTGTCCACGCGCAGATGCGAGGAGCCGCGCGCGATCCCGCGGGCGGTGCCGTTCGCGCTGGGGGCGGAGGCGGAGGCGGCGGCGGCGGCGCTGCCCGAGGCGCCGAGCGCGGAGGAGGAGGCGGCGGCCGAGGCGGCGCTGGTGCTGGCCTTCGAGGAGCCCGCCTGCCGCAGCACGCGCCTCGTGGGAGGCAAGGGCGCGTCGCTGGCGCTCATGAGCGCGCTCCAGCGCCCGCAGGTCAGTCGCTCACACCACTCGATGCTTTTGTGTTGCCGGGCGCGGCGAACCGACTTAGGCATCAACCGATTTGGGCATCAACTGAGGATTTGGGTCTCAGCGGTGGCACGATTTTTGACACTGGCTACACAGTTACGTCGAATTCAACCGCTTCTCGCAATTCACTTCTTCTTCTTCGCTTTCTAGTGATTCCGCATATACCTTTTTTTTTTTGAACGAAGAAACCATGAAAAGTAACTATCAAATCAGCTGGAGGATAGCAACATGCAATAGATAATCGGGTGATCGTTTACCGCTCAAATCACGTTAAGATAATGAACTTTTTTCTTACTGGCCCTTACGAAGGTACTTCGTAAGAAGAGAAAGTTATGTAATCGTGCCTCCGAAAACAGCAATTTTTTAAGGTGCACTAAAAACGAATAGGGTATTTTCAAAAAGAGACCTAATAATACGTCATTGTTCCGGATAAAAGACTGTTCAATCAAAGGGTAATATTTCTTCACATTTTCCCAAAATCGTCTCTCATACATTATTAAACGTTTGTTAATATAGACTAATTCATTTTTAGTGCTTCATTTTACAGTATATCTTCTACTCTACGCTATTTTACCTTTTTTGTTTACCATAAAGGAATTACTTTCTCTTAATTTTTTAACATTTGATTATCCACCTAGCACTTAAAGGTCGCTTATATAAGAGTAGACATTTTTGGAAAAGTATTTAATAATACTACAGAAATTAACAAATATTTCGCGAAAGCATATTCATACCTCACCCTTCGCAATATTTGGTCCGAGCTGCTGTTAAATGTCGCTTTGGAATTCAAGTAGCAAGGTCTCCACCACTTGAGAAAGCATTGCTTATCGTGGGGGAAGGCGCTCAGTAACTCATGTCCAGATACGGAGTAATAACACAGGTGTACGGAAACAGAGTTATCACGTCAGGTAGATACGCTCACCATGTGTGGATTTTTTTTCAAATATCTTATTATATTTTTATGCCATTGCTGATGTCATTATGTAGAAAGTGTCTTTTTATTACGGAATTACCGAATTCCTCAATAAAAATAATGGATTATGAAAGTTTCGTAATCTGTAATATATTTACTATTCTATTCAATGTTCTCATTGTTTCCCACAACACGCAACTATTTCGCAGCTTATAAATAGGTGTTTTGACAAGTTTGATATCTTCTCACTCTTCCACTTCAGGAATTTAGACTCTTTTGACTTCGTTTTCATTTGGTCTCCCCAATCTCTTCCTCGGGACGAGGCTTTCTTCGTCCTTGTGGGCGGTTCTGTAAAATTCCCTTCGACAAATGGTTCTCCGGCATAATTCTAATTAATTGGGTTCAGGAAGTTAAGTAGCCATTAAATTTACCTGGGAAATTACATTCTAAGTTATCGGTTTTTTGTTGAATGAGAAGGGGGAATTCTCACTTTATACCATTTGTGTCAAGAGGCTGACTGACCATCGGGAACGTGCTCACAGGCACCAATTTTTAAGCTTAGTGTTTATTGAATGTAACAAATAGAAAATGAATGATTTTAGTTTCGAGGAGAATCACTTTCGACGCCTGTTGTGCAAACGAAATTATATACTCAGACACGGAAAACAAGGAAAATTACTCAGACACAGCAAATATGTAAAAGTATATAATAAACAAAGAATGTAAAGTAAATAATATTATATTATATTATATTATTATATTATATTATATTATAATTGTATTATATTATAATTATATTAATATTATATTATAATTATATTATATTATATTAATATTATATTATATTATATTTATATTATATTATATTATATTATTATATTATATTATTATTATTATTAAAGATATACTTCCGCTATCCAGGGCAAAAGCCTCCCACTCTCTGGTAGGGTAATCACGAGAAGAACTTACCAAGTGAGCTCAAACCTGGCAAATTTAAATTGTTTTTCCCTTTTATCAATATGGTTATAAAGATATTTAGCCCAGTAGTTGTTAACAAAATCTGTGAATATTTCTTTAGCGCTATTTTCACTGTTAAACAATAGTTTGATAGACAGATTATCACACACATGTTTTACACACGCTTATCTTAAAACGAATTATTTACACTTCTATTTACATACATATATTTACACATTTATTATTTCTACAGTTCTTTTTGTCACTTCTTTCCACTTTAACCTGTCTCTAGCTATGCGCTCTCATAAATTTCCTATTTCGCTTACAAATTCGTCTTGGAACCTTTGTCTTTATCTTCCTACACATCTCCATCCTACTCTTGGGTTCCGGGTCCCACCGGGTCACTGCGTGTGTCCATCTTTTCGGGCCAAGTCGGCTGATATGTCTTCCCCATTTCCGTTTTAATCTTTTTGCCTCTTGTGCTGCGTCTTTCTTCTAATGTCAACATTCTTGACTCTGTCTCTTAGATTTATGTTCAAAATTTTCCTCTCCATTTTTCTTTGGCGTATCTCTATCATATTTCGCTCTTTTACGTACAGAGACCGTGTTTGTGCTCCGTAAATTTGAATGTTTTGAAATTTGAGGGCAGGTAAACACAGCTGCGATATGTTTCCTTTTTTGTGAATCAGGATGAAAGTACTTAAGGACCACTCTTTTGGCAATTTTTCTTTTTCGAGAATGAGGTTAAACAGAATTGTGAGAGGTTTCCATATCACTTCTGGTCCTATTTTTAGAAGTTCATTATAGATTCTGTCTTCTCCAGGAGGCTTCGCCCTTTTGAGTTCTTTCAGAGCTGACCTCAGCATAATGGAGGGTGTCGATTTAATGTTTCCTACTGTAGTGTCATTTAACATAACTTTTATTTCTTCCATTTTTGTGGTTATCCAATGCACTGTTGTAAATATTCTCGTAATATTATATATGAAGTAATACTTTTTTTTAAACTTGGGACCATTGTTTAGAAAAGTCTGAAAATGTCCCAAGTAAAATTCAAGTAAAATACCCCCAACATTTAAAGAATTATATTTAAAATCGCAGTGTTTCAGTCGGGCGAGATCGATCAAGTAATATTCATTTTGGAATAAATCCACTAAATAGCTTAGGCACTAGTATTGTTCACACACGGACGGACAGATGGGCAAACAGACGTCAGACTAGAGTATGTTTTGAAATTTATTTACTTTTCGTGGTGCGCAAACTGTACATGTGTGAGTCCTTTAAAATATCGCAGTCTATTTTTCAGAGCGTTACGTAACTTTTTCTACACTACGTACAAGTATATTGCTTCGTATATACCGACGTAATCGACAAAGGAAAAAACACATTTGTAGATGGGATGTAGAAGACGCCATTATTTGCCCCTTTCACTGGACAGATTTCCCTTGGACACACATATTAAACACAGAGTGCTTAAATCAATATTCTTACAAGTTTTAGGTTTAATACTACGAGAGCTTGTAATTCTTGAAATTAAAGACTTAACAGGTTCTTGCTACAAACAATTACATAACATTTTCCTTGTTTTAGTAATTAAAACAGAAGTATGTTATTAGACATTTCATTTCTAGATTACGAATGTTTCGTTACACGGAACACAAAACAAGCTCAGGCAATTGATAGACATCTCTGTCCTAGTGACTCACACGGCAATCCTATGGCCTTGCTTGTTGTTTTCTTTTTGAGGATTTCAAATAACTATAACAGTCTATTCAGTCTATTTGCTTTGTTTGCTACAACCGGTTCTGGAACGTGACCTGGCTACCATGAATGTCAAAGTCTTTCTTCAATGACAGACACTTGATATGATTTCGATTACGCCACATGACGCCGCTAGAAATCAGAATTGAATTTCTATATTGTCAAGAGCAGACAAAATAGAAATTGGAGTCAATTTCCTCCTACTTTGTAGACATTGGTCTTAAACAGTGGTTTCACAATTAAATTACAACTTCACACAATGTCGGGGTTGTAAGTAATATTCTGGTATTTCGTTAATTTGTAAATATAGCGATACACTACTAGAAGAAGTAACCCTCCGTTGCCCCGGTGTT